TCGATATATCATATAGAACAGGCATTTCATTTAATCTAGTTGTGGAGATTCAAGCAGACAGTATAACTATTAGATAATTCTATGATGCACACCCCCTTCATGGATCACTGCCTTGTGGTGGCGAAGGGGCTTGTGTAGCTCAGTGAAGCTATGAGCTATGCCATGAGGGGCACCCAAGATAGACAGGTCATAGCAGAGAGCTCTGACAAAAGCTGGTCCACTGGAGAAGGAAATGGCAACCCACTCTTGCCATGAAGAGTGGCAAGGGAATGGCAACCTTTGCCATGAAAACCCCAAGGACAGTACCAAAAGGCAAAAAAAATACAATGCCAGAAGATGAACCCCTCAGGTGGGAAGGAGTCCAATGTGCTACTGGGGAAGAGCACAGGGCTACTATTAGAAGCGAAAGGCAAGGGAGAAAGAGAAAGATACACCCAATTGAATGCAGAATTCCAGAGAACAGCTAGAAGAGATAAGAATGCCTTCTTAAATGAACAGTGTAGAGAAGTAAAAGAAAACAATAGAATAAGGAAGACTAGAGATCCCTTGAAGAAAACTGGAGATATGAAGGAAACGTTTCATGCAAAGATGGGCATGATAAAGGACCAAAATGGCAGGAACCTAATAGAGACAGAAGTGATTAAGAAGAGGTGGCAAGATTACACAGAAAAACTATACAAGAAAGAGCTGAACGGCCCTGATAACCACAATGGGGTGGTCACTGACCTCGAGCCAGACATCCTGGAATGTGAAGTCAAATGGGCCTTAGGAAGGCTGAGCAACAACAAAGTTAGTTGAGGTGACAGTATTCCAGCTGAGCTATTCAAAATCCTAAAAGACGATGCAGTAAAAGTGCTACACTCAATATGCCAGCAAATTTGGAAAACTCAACAGTGGCCACAGGATTGGAAAAGGTCAGTTTACATTCCAATTCCAAAGAAGGGCAATGCCAAAGAATGTTCAAACTACCGCACCACTGCACTCATTTCACATGCTAGCAAAGTGATGCTCAAAATCCTACAAGCTAGGCTCCAGCAGTATGTGGACTGAGAGCTTCCAGGAGTACAGGCAGGATTTCGAAGAGGGAGAGGAACTAGAGATCAAATTGCCAACATATGCTGGATCGTGGAGAAAGCTAGGGAGTTCCAGAAAAACATCTACTTCTGCTTCATTGACTATGCTAAAACAAATTGTGGCAAGTTCTTCAAGAGATGGTAGTACCAGACCATCTTATTTGTCTCTTGAGAAACCTGTATGCAGGTCAAGAAGGAACAGCGAGAACTGGACACGGAACCACTGATTGGTTCAAAATTGAGAAAGGAGTTCAGCAAGGCTGTATACTGTCCCTCTGCCCATTTAACTTATATGCAGAGCACATCATGAGAAAGGTGGGGCTAGATGAATTACAAGTTGGGATTAAGATTGCTGGGAAAAATATCAACAACCTCAGATATGCCGATGATACCACTCTAATAGCAGAAAGTGAAGAACTAAAGAGCCTCTTGATGCAGGTGAAGGAGGAGAGTGCAGAAGTTGGCTTGAAACTCAACATTAAGAAAACTAAGCATGGCATCCAGTCCTACAACTTCCTGGCAAATAAATGGGGAAGAAACGGAGGTAGTGACAGATTTTATTTTCCTGGGCTCCAAGATCACCGCAGACGGGGACTGCAGCCAAGAAATTAAAAGACGCTTGCTCCTTGGGAGGAAAACTATGGCAAATCTAGACAGCATACTAAAAAGCAGAGACATCACCCTGCCAACAAAAGTGCATATAGTCAAAGCTATGGTTTTCCCAGTTGCAATTTATGGCAGTTAAAGTAGAACCATAAGGAAGGCTGAGCATTGAAGAATTGAGGCATTTGAATTGTGGTGCTGGAGAAGACTCCTGAGCGTCCCCTCGACTGCAAGGCGATCAAACCAGACACTCCTAGAGGAGATCATCCCTGACTGCTCTTTAGAAGGGCAGATACTGCAGATGAAACTTCGGCTACCTAATGAGGAGGAAGGACTCCCTGGAGAAGAGCCTAATGCTGGGAACAATAGATGGCAAAAGAAGAAGGGGATGGCAGAGGATGAGGTGGCTAGATGGAGTCACTGAAGTAGTCGGTGTGAGCTTAAGTGGACTCCGGGGGATGGGGGAGGACAGGATGGCCTGGAGGAATGTTGTCCATGTGTTGCAATGGGTCGGACACAAGTTTGCGACTAACAGCAACAACAACAATCAATTCTGTGTGTAAATCTGTACATGGAATCTCTTGGGAACCTCTGAATCCTCTGATGACACAGAAACCCCATTCATTTCTGCATCCCTGTACACATATCCCTTCCCATCACTCTTCCAGGTGATCCATGGGTCTGGCAGCCAGGACTCCCAGGTGCTGTTTCGGAGCACTGCTTCCTCTGTGCACCAGAGTTCCAGTGCCCAGCAGAAGACCAAATAACACAAGCTGTGTGTGTGTGGAGGAAATACACATTTTTGCAGCAAAATGGGTACGGAAGCTGAACCCAGTTGCATCCAGCCCTCGGCTTCCCATGATCTGCCTCTCCCTCCAGGCAAGCCCTTTTCTCCCAG